CACAATTGAGAAATGAATATTAAAGATTTTAACTTGATTAGTTAGCGTCATTATTAGTACATCTTCCATGTTAAAAGTAAATATCGACAATAGCACATTATACTTATTCAACTAAATGTGTTGTAGCAAGCACATCTTGATATCTATATAGCATATATTGTAGATTTCAAGTTTCTTAAAATATAAATGGTACTTTTCCTAATCTTCGCAAACAGTAACTGCAGTTTCACTTTAAGCTAACTTTCCGAGAAGATTCTACACAAAAGTAGAACAGTAAAGAAAATGGAGTGCAGGCTGCACCATCACCAGCTTATGAGGCAGAGATTAAAAAACGAATTTCAAGATGCTTTAGTTAAAGTTCAGACCCATTTTTACTCACTTTGTAAGGAAGCAGAGCAGAATGGGAGTTTTAACACGTTCTTCAAAATAGTAAATGCTATATGATTTTCCTTTCTCAGAGCTGTATGGCGAATGTATTAGATTAAAATACCCATCAAAGTTATAACGCGCAATAAGTGCTTGTAATGAGAAATGAATGAGTAATGAGATTCTACATAATGACTTTCATTTCTGTTGTTATGAGAATATCCTAATTCAGTGCTTTAGGTAGTTTTAAATTCAATTCTGCGATTTTCATAGATAAATAAAATTTAACACTTTTCATAAAAGGTTTTGTAATGAGAATCGTGCACACATTAGATGAGTGTTGAAAGGAAAATTTTTGCTATGCAAGATCATTATGGTTCTGTTGCTATAGATAAAAGTAAGCAATTAGTAAATTAAATAAATAACAACATGAGGATTTCATGGTCAGTATCTTTGTTCTTCAGTCAGTTTATGACCACTCGTAAATGCAAATATCATTAATGAATATTAAGCAATTAACAGGAATAGGAAGCTTGTTTAATGTTTTATTTTATGTTTTTGAACATCAACGGACTAAAAGATAGAAATAAATAAATAACCTACACATATTTTAGTAAATTATTTAAAATTTATATCTTACTGCTTTCTAACTTCATTTAACTGTCAATGTTAAATTAGCACATTTTGAATGACAAATTAGTACCGTTGTAATGACCGCTTAAAATAATCGGAAATATATTTATATGTATAGAGATTATTATTATGTAGAGAGATTATTTCCGATTTTATTTCCCTTGCGGCCTGCAGCCAAGTTGCGAATGAGAACACACAAACCTTGGCATTAACAAGTCTTATCCATCCACACCACGACTGTGCGAAGAGGAAATATTAATGTAGCATTCATTCATTTGTAGAACTTATTAAATCGTGCTATTCTGCCATATTGCTGAGTAAAGATGGTTTTAAAAATATATTCTTGTTTCCAACCCTTTTTTTTGTGTATTTTGTATATATACGATCTGATGCAGCATTCTTTTCATGCTTGGGTACGCCGTTACATGCTTTTCAATTTTGTTGTAACTATTTCTATGTAGCATATGGAAAATACGTTTAATGAATGTTACTGGGGTTTTATTGTACAACTTGAAACTTTATTGAGCATTTCTAATATATATATATATATATATATATATATATATATAGGAACAATAACAATGATGGAAAAGGCCAATTGACAATGAACGACCTAGAGGTACGACCATTTTGCACAACAAAATGGATAATAATATTCCCTGCACACAATTCTAACTAAAACCGTTATCGCATTCATAATACAAAATCCTAAAATGCTTCACATTCTGATCTGTCAAGCGAAAAAAAAAAAAAAAGAAATTGTTGAAGATTCGAAGTGGGCATAAAATGCGAGAATGAAACGAAAAATCATTTAACAAACATAAATATCAAAAACTTGAATGGCTGGAGCTGATCCAGCCAATATGATGTCCATTAGAAATTTGATGAGAACTTATACTAAAATTAAGACATTAAAATTTATGGAAAATTCTTGAAAATTGGAATTATATTGTGTAATATTTTATGTATTTTAATAAAAAAAAATTTGCCATTAATGCATTTACTGGTTTATAGGACTACAAAATTTTTGATTTTTTTTTATATTTAAGTATTAAAATTTTGTGTTGTACAAACATTTAAAAAATTTTTAATTAAAACTCGCATTAACTTTTTTTTTTTATCGTACTGTTTCCATATAATACGTATTAAAAAACATCATTAAGCCAAAATAGGAGTTAATAAGCACAGCCATTATGGATATTTAAAGTATATAAATTCTCATCGATTACACAGCAATCTATTCGGCAAACAATCTTTTAGCAATTTGATAAAAAAAATCATTAATCTCATTTTATTGCTATATAAAACAAACTATTTCATTAAAATTTATCAAAACCACTTAAAAGCTTTAAACTTTTTTAGCTAATGTTAAAACGGTTAATTTACGACCATTTTTTATTAGCCAAAAGGATAAAAATAATCATGTTATTTGTTCATTATTATTTGAATATTGTTTTTCGTATTGATTAATATGTTTTTCCAAGTGCTTTTAATTTATTTTAGGGATTTGATTGACTAAAAAAATCGCATATATACATATATTTGATTATTATCTACTGCAAGATTTAATTTATCGTTGTGAAAATTTATTATTAACATTAAAATAAATTATTTCGATTGTATTATTTTATTGCACTTTCTCAAAACCATTCTTAAGTCAAAATAAACAATGATAACACCAAATACTTTTCTTTAATCAAAATTTCTCAACTCTGGACCCTAGCCAATCCAATCGAAAGAGAAATGGTATCCATTAGTACAAAAATTTGATTGCAAATGCTCATAGGCTGGCAAAATACTCCAGGAATCCGAACTGTAATTTATTTCCCTGGGAACAATCATTCATTTTCCCAAAGTTCCCGAAGACCGCGAGCATTACTTATTCATCAACTTTCAAAGCAAACCGCCGCGAAGGTAAATGCTGCATTGAATTCAAATTACAGCCATGGACACATTCATGGCTTACTCGAACCTCGGAGATCACTGGATGTATCTTTTGTGGTCACGATTACGTGTTTAGTGCTTAAGTTAAGCACTAATAATGGACCCATTCTGCTTAATAACAAATAACTCACTACCTCTGAACGTGTAGTAACTAAATTTAATTTGGGCCAATCGTGTGGAACTCATTTGTTTCACGTTCAGGTAAATAAATTACTTATGAGATATATTCTTTTATACTTATTTAACTAGAGATTCAGACAAAAAAACCTTTCAATATTGAAATTTGTTTATTAATCCCCCATTGTAAACAATTCTTCATTTGAATAATGATAGATTAATAGAAATTTTAAATTCAATTTGTAATATTTTTGAAGTTAATTACAGATTTTTATAAATATATATAATTAACACATTTTACAAAAACCAAATGAGAACTGACAAGGAGTGAACTTGAAACACTTCTTTTGCACATCAAAATCCACTACCAGTATTTAATACGCGTAAATATTTTCACAGCCCATCATAGCATTAGCTCAGAAAAGCATTAGCTCAGAAAAAGAACTTAATCTGAAGCAATGAGACTGAAAATCATTAGAAAATACAAATAACAAAATGTTGAATGAAAAGATCTACATTGGCAGATAAAAAAGCACAAAAATTTATACAAAATATACTAAAACAGGATATTAAACAAATTGTTCATAAAATCTGTCAAACCTGAAAAGAGATTAGTAAAGCTAAAAAAGAAATATTTTTAAAAACCTTTTTAAAAATAATTGCATTTTATACCCTGATGTCCCTTTTTATACCCGTTTTTTATCAAGGAATCCCCGGGATATTATAAACAATGTTATTTCTGCTCACTACACTCACTAGTTAACTGGATTTAAGTCAAAGACATATCTAGTGACGTATTCTTGATAACATAGAGTGCACAGGAAGTTCTACCATGCCATAGCTGATTCTTTGAAAATTTTTAACGGTTGAAGACAGCTAACAAATAAAAATCTGCTTTTTTATAAATGATTTAAAAATATGCTTAAAGAATTTTTATGATGGCCTAATTTTTCAAAAATCCTTCTCACAACATTTATCTAAGAGCGTATAAAAATATAAGCTAACAAAAATAACTTAAAAAGCTAATAGCTATATAGAGCAATTAAAAATAATTTTCAAGCTGATTTTCTTGATATTAATATTAACATTCATAATACATCACAAATTAATATATCTGGCAAAAGAAAACAATTCCAATTCATCAATAGACTTACCCACGCGGGAATTCAATTATCAGTATCAAAATACAAATATATATCATTAATCAATTGTTCAGAATTAATTGCCCTCTGTAAAATTAATGCTGTTACAAAAACAAAAAAGACTTAAGAATGCCCTTTTAAAAAAATGTACTTTGGAAATATTTCTTCCTCTCTATTTTTTTTTTAATATGTAGTCTTTCAACTCATTGTTGTTAAAATAATTTTCCCATTTGGTTTACAATATCTATAATAACTGGGGTAATAGTAACCGGAAGACCATAGGAATCGTGTTCTCCGCACCGTGGTGTTTCTTCTCAGATCTCTTCCGGAGAAATAGGAAATCACGTCATCAATATCTATATCACGCTTTCCCCTGCTGTTAATTAACGGGACCACAGAGGGCAATAAAATCATCCCAGTTAGCTACTGCACAATATTTTTGTTGTTAATCGACAAAATTACTTATCGTAGTCCGAAAACTAATCACATGCTTAGTTGTCATATTAATATTGTTGTTGTTTCTATCCTTACCTCCTTGGCCAAGCCCACGAGCCCATACGCTATCAAGGATTGAAGGCGAAGGGAAGCAGCTTCTGTTGTGATGGAGCACCCGTAGGTAGAAGTCTGACTTTGCCTCCATGACTCTCTTACAGTCATAGGAGACCGAATCATGACTTAAAGTGATTCTGAACCACTACAAACATCCATACGGCACCGCCGGACCCGTACCCAAACCTGTGGCACCGAGCGTCAGAGCGCCAGACACTCGGCCATTCAGGTCCCCAAATTTGTGAATGCCGACGGCGCGCGGTGTTCCCTGGTGGTCACCCACCCAAATTTACTGATTGCGCCCACGATGCTTGACTTCGGTGATCTAACGAGAACCGGTATATTCAGCATGGTATGGCCGTTGGCGTATTAATATAAATAGCCAATAAGGTTCTATTATGACTCAGTTTTTGCTTTATAAAAATTATATACCTCCAGTTCGTTTTCCTTCAAATTCTATACCTTATCGACTTTGCAAAAAAAGGATGCTTTTCTGCCATTTGTTATCGGAATACGTCGCTAGATATGCATTTGACTTAGTTCCAGTCATCTATCTATCAGAAATAACGCGATTTATAATTTCTTGAGGGTGCGTATTCATCAGTAACATAGAGTACGTATTCATTAATAGGGCTATCCTCAGATTGTTTAATGTATATAATAATAATACTCTCAGTAATTTCTTTTGGGGTTTTATAAATATTTCTTTTTCACCAATTTCTTTCGACTAACGTTTTCCTGGACAATTTCTTGCTGTGTTGCTTCTGCGGATATAAATTTTTGTATATATATATGCAAAAATTATATATATATATATATATAATTTTATATCCGCACAAACAACACAGCAAGAAATTGTCCAGGAAAATGTAAAAATTCTCTCTCAGTCTCTTCATATATATATGAGAGAGAGAAGAGAGTTTGTGTTTGGATTCAATGCCACTCTACGGTCACTTTCTGCACACTTTAAGCTAATTACGTAGAAACAGAGAGAAGGAGAGAGAGATATAAATAGTGTGTATACCTCAGAAAAGCAGGTGTTATAAATTAAGAAAATAAAGATTTTAGATAGATGGTCATTATATCAAATGCATATATGTATAAAATACATATATGTGAATATATATTATACATAAAAAGTACATATATGCAAAATACAATATAAATTACATATATGTGACATTATATATAATAGAATTAATTAAAATATTGTTAAGTTAATAATAGAATAATAAAAATGCAATTAAATTCTCAGTAATAATTTATGAAACCAATTTCCTGCATGAATCATTAAAAAAAAAAAAATTCACATTTCAAAATAGTTGTAATTAATATTTATATACGATTTTTTATTAAATTTAAAGAAATTATGTGTTTCGAATTTCTAAACTTACATTGCAAGTAGTAAAGCAATTTAATATTTCCAGAAAATTTATATTAATTCTCAGAATATAATACACTCATGTCCATAAATTAAGGATAATTCAGAATCACACAGAAATTGAACTCTAAAATAAAAATTTCACCTGTAGAATTATCACACACATCTTTTGAAGAAGAATATGCAAAATTACAGGAAAACCACCAGATGGCGCGGCTAGTATGTCACAATGACGAGAGTGTAAGAGAGGGGTACATAGGAATGGTGGCAAAGAAATAAAATTGTTCACAAGCGCTTTAAAAGCTTTTCAGTGCAATAACCGAATAATTATGGCACAAAGGAAGTATATGGATGATTTTTTACGTGGTAGAATTATTGGACGACTGGAATGTGGACGTACATAGCTGGAAGTATCTGAGGAACTTGAATCGCCCAGAGTGTCATCTCCAGGCTTTGGCAACGATTCCAAGATGATGGTAATTTGAGTAGATGTTACAGCACAGGTCGCCCCCGAGTTACAACGCCGAATGAGGATCGATATTTAGCATTTACTACGCCAAAAGAGACAGACGGAGCACAGCATCAGACCTGTCTCGTCAGATCTCTTCAGCTACCGGTACGACAGTTTCAAGGCAGACCGTGTACAGACGCTTAGGGCACATTGGTCTATATGCTCGTAGGCCTGTCAGATATGTTCCACTTACCGCAACTCACTGTCAACTGCGATTAACCTGCAGTAGAGAGCATGCATTGTGGACACCGCAACAGTGGTCTGGTGTGATGTTTTCCGACGAGTCCATGTTTAGTTTGCTGTCTGATTCTCGCCGGACTTTTTATATGGAGAGCGCCAGGTACCCGTTACCACCAAGAGAACACCATTGAAAGACACCGTTACGGTGGTGCAGGATGGCTCGTTTGGGGAGGAATTATTCTTGGTTCCAGAACTGAACTGCATGTTCAGAGTGTAACGATGACAGGCCACATCTATCGGGATGTCATTCTGGAACAACATGTACGTTTGTTTCGGGGCGCCATGGGTGCTGAATTTCGGTTTATGGATGACAACGCCCGTTCTCGCCGAGCAAACATTATAGACGAATGCCTTCAATTGGAGGATATCACCGTATGGATTGACCAGCATACTCACCGGACTTGAATCCAATAGAGCATGTGGGGGATATGCTTGTCCGACGAATTGCAGCCCGTCAACACCCCTCCCACCTGTCAACCGCAACTTCGGAGGGCATTGCTTGATGAGTGGTGGCTTCCCAAGATCAGAATGATAATTTGATACTCAGCATGCCTAGGCGTTGTAAGGCCTGTATTGCGTCGTCCGTGAGACATACTCCATATTAACAATCATACTAACCATGTTAGACTGTTTTTTGTAAATAGGTTCTTTGAAATTTGCTCCACGGAGTAAAAATCGCACTTTTTATTAATTATGTCAAACATATAGCATCTTTTTTACTTTTTTACCTTTGTTTAATAAATAGACTTACAAATAAGTCAAATTTGTTTTGCTTCTGTCTCTTTCTTTGCCTGAACTTCATTATCCTTAATTTATGGACATGAGTGTAATTTATGTTGTGAATGTTTATTTAGAATTTATAAAATTTTAGTGAAAATATGAAAAAAATTTTTCCCCAATAAAAGCAGAAATTTCCAATACATTGATATAGTATTTTCTTCTGGATTAAAACATTTATTTTAGTGCAGTAAAATGATAAATTACAAGTTTGTAAAACATAATTTATTTCAATTCTATACAGTAACTTCAAAAACAAACCATAGAACATACAGAAAACATTAAAAAACTTTTAAATCTGAGGCATAGAGATCTTATGAATATTGTTGGCTAAGATCATACGACAATCATTCAGTTCACTAGATTTGATCTCAGTTAACTAAACACGGTTCTATTCAATACAGAAACGAAAACTGAAAATACATAATTTTGAGAACATAATAAAGATTGAAAGATCTTAGTTGAAACATATATTTTAAGGGGAAATTTAATAATAAATTATAAGTTTGTGAAATTATAATTTATTTCAAATTTATACAGTAACTTCAAAAAAATAAAACATATAATATGCAGAAAAGCTTAAAAAAAACTTTTTTTAATCTGAAGTGTAGAGATATCATGCATAATGATGGTTAGTTTATATACATATTATTGTAAACTGAATGTTTACTAGATTTGATCTCCAATTACTAAACAGATTGTTCAATTCAATACAAAAATCGAAAACACATTATTTTTAGAACATATTTTTTAATCATAGATTATTTTCAAATGCAAATTTCAGCATAATATACGATTAACAATAAATTGATGGAATTCATTTATTTTATATCTTTATTATAATTTAAAGAAAAAGCATGGCACGTAACTGAAAATCTCACATAACTTTTCTCAGAAAGCACTTTAGATCAAACATCAAGAACAAAATGGTGAGAACAACTTCAAGTGCTTTGTTGCCGAAGGCATTCGACCCTCTTAATTCACAAAATCCGATAAACCTGTCCTCTAAACCGTTTCTCCTAACGGAAAAGATTTCACATACAACTCCCTCAAACACACCATTCAGGAGAGATTTCTAAACATTTTGGCTTTTATTTCAACTATTTTTGTGCTTCTTCTTTTCGCTCGCATTGCCTGCTATCGAGAGATATATTTCTTACTTCGCTCTTGTTTCCAGTCACGCAGCCGAAGCAGTGGATACGTTGGAACATCGTTCACGTTTACCATTTACTTATGCTTTTGCTTTTACCGTAATTTTCTTTTACGGTTAGAGCTGTTTCCTGAGTTTCACATTCATTGCATTTTCTGTTTCCGTTGATAATCTTGTTATCCTCCCTCGGATTTCTTTTTTCTTTTTCGCCGGTGCACCCAGTTAAGACTTCAAGCCTTGTTAACCTCTCAGCAGAAGGCGTTTGAGTTGTTCTTAAGTCAGAGCTGCAAAACTTTCGCTCCTGGAAATTGAGCATTGTTATTTCACCGGAATGGGTTTTTATGTAGCTCCTAAAAGTCTTTTTAATGCAATTTAAATATTCCTTTTTGATACTAGACATTTTTTTTATCATTTGCACTTTTTCTTACTCTGTGATTTATTGAGTTGTAGTAATTTTTGTAACACATCTGAAGGAAAGTAATTGTGAAACTCACAAATTCTTGACAGAAAGTCTGTCTTTCACTTGTAATAAGTTATTGCAGATTCAGTATTATCCTGTATATATTATCATGCACTTGCTACCTTGACAGAAAGTTACTTCTAATGAGAAATTGCAGATTCAATATTATCTTGTATATATTATAAGGAACTTGCTACACTATACTTATTTTGATTGCATTTCAATTTCAGACAAATACCTCCCTACTTCCAATATGTCCCACCTATTATTTTCATGCTCGGTGTAGACTTCTAGAATTTTCGATTCTGTCCGCTTGTCGAATTTCTAATCGATTTTCTCTAACTTGAATGATCGATGCACTGTTCACCAGAGAGGTCTACATTTTTTTTGCATTTAAAGTAAATGAATATTAATAGGATATTATGTGAAATGGTAGTGTTGAAATGGTGTATTTGAACATCGTTTATTTTATCCATTTTAGGAGTCAATATAATGTTCTTGAACTATCCACCATCACCCTTCATTAGTGGAATTCGAGGCCTTAAAATATAAAATCGTTACAAGCTTAAAAATGCTTTGAAATGAATTGTTACTAAGCAGTTGCATTATTTCTTTTTGAAATATACTAAATCTTCCACTAATGGTAAATAAATAAATTAAATATTTATAAATTACATAAATATATCATTCTCATAATGATTATAAAAGTCATGATCAAATAATACGAACTGGACATTTTTTAGCGTTTAGTAAATGACAATCGTTTAATGCTTTCTATAGGATTATAATTTAGAATCAAATTCAATTACACATATCGTTCTCTAATCGGTACCGCTATCTGAA